TATTATTATTATTATTATTATTATTAGTAGTAGTAGTAGTAGTAGTAGTAGTAGCAGCAGCAGCAGCAGCAGCAGCAGCAGCAGCAGCAGCAGCAGCAGTAGTAGTAGCAGTAATCTATTGGCAAAGAAAAAAAATCTTATTTTTAAGAGATCATTGACTAGTTATGCTGGAGAATCATGAGCTTTCCGGGTGAAAAGGTTATGTTTGCTTAAGAGCAGAAGTGAGGCACATGTTTGGAATATCATATTTCATTGTTAACAGCACTACTGCAGTGTTTGTTTCCTTATAATAGCTTCACATCACTCTTCTGATATGACTCTAAGGTGATTTACATTAAGAAAGTGCAATTAAACAATCAAAATATAAATGCTAATAGCATTAAGGACTGGAACGGAAAGCCAGTTTCAGCATCTATATAATAATTAGCAAGGCCCTTGTTCTTTCTGTAACGGCAACAATCCGACCACCTATACACTTTTATTTGCAGACTTTATGTATAAATAGAGACCTACAGAGGTTGAAGCGGAGGCTGTCTTACTTTGGGCCCAGAGAAGTCAGGATTCTCTGGAAAAGACAAGAATGCTGGAAAAGGCAGAAGGCAGCGGGAAAAGAGGAAGACCAAATACGAGATGAACTGACTACCTAAGGGAAGCCACAGGCTTGATTTTGCAAGAGCTGAGCAGGGCTATCAGGGACAGGATGTTTGGGAGAGCGCTCCTTCATAGGGGTTGCCATACATCAGAAGTGACTTGACTGCACATAATCAGAACAAGAACCACGTATATACACACAACAGAGGATTTCATTTCAATAGCTTTTGTTTAGCCCCCCCCTCCCCAGGTGCATTCTTTTTAAACATGTCAGCTTTCAGAACGGCGAATAATTTAGCAAAAAAACATTAGAAACCAATGCAAAATTCACAGCGATGTCTGAAATCCATTTACAGAAAACGAACATCTAAAATGCAGCTGACGGGATCCCTAAAATGGTTAACAAATACTGATAATCAAGTTGATTCCGAGCGCAATATTTGCCAAGCACAGAAAGATGGATCGTGATCGTAATAAATCGGCTGCCTAGGAGAGAAGCCAATTTCTCTTGAGCTGAGCCAAAAAAAGGATGCTTTAAAAGGAAAAGAAAGGAGAAGAAAGAAATTCTGTTTCCTTTGATGCGAAAAGAGAGCCTGCCTTCGGGTAACAAAAACCAAGGACTGGCAATGAGGCCATTACTAAATTAGCACAGTCGGATCCTATGGGCAAGCAGGTGGTTCGGGGATCCGGTGGGCAAGGAGGTGGTTGGGGGTGGGGGTGGGGGTGGGGGTGGAGGGAGAAGTTATTTTCCCAAGGGGAGCCGAAAAAAGCTTTCCTGTCCAGGCAATTACACAATATTAGCCCCCTCCCCAACCACCAGTAAGAACTCTCAAGAACCCCTCTTTAATTCCACCCCTGCAGCCACTGACAATCTAGTCTTCTCTTTATTTCATTCATATCTCACATGGGTCGCCAGCCCTAACCAGTGTGACTCAACCCAGCCTTCTAACCCCCCCCAAAAAAAAAGTGTGTTCATGTGCGTGTGTGCCGTTTGAGGACAATACTTTGTACATCTGAGTCGTTGGACGGTGTCTGCTAAGGTTTGTGCCCTAACAGACATGTTTCTCTTTTGAACTGGTGACACAAGACTCTAGTCGTCACAAGAGTTCAGAGTTCATTCTGCCACCCCTAAAACGCTTCCGGTGCATGATGGCCAGCCTACAACACTACCCCTGCTAGGGTAGACCACCTAACACGGATACATTAGATCTACCCAGCAAAATTCTTGTTCAAATCACCCCTTGCTGCAGGAAACTCCCACGGGGAAAGCAAGCCATGAAGCAAGGAGACCACAAGAAATGCTGCAAGAAGGCGTTCAACAGACCAGCGTCACTTCCTGCTGGCAAGGACTTCAAAGGATCCCGAAAACGACTTTATAGGACAAGCAGTGACAGACAGGCCCTCTTAGCTGTTGGTGGTGTGGAAGGCTTCCTGAGACACCCAATTTGCGGGATGAGGAAACCAGGGTTGGCAATGACAGTGTCTTTAAAGGGCATCCAAAGAAAGGTCTTGTGATCCACTATGTCAGCAGAAGGAGTCCCTGAGGGGACATAAGATGATAAGATCCCTATCAGCCTCTGGAGCCACACCTAGACAGATCTCTCTCTCTCTCTCTCTCTATGGCAAGTGACAGCGGGGCTATATATATACATATAGTGTTCAAGATTGCATTTTGTATTAAATTTCTCATTCTCTTCCCAAAACAAACAATGAAGAGGCAGAACACTGCGCCATCTAATAGCTAACTCTTTTGCTGTGTTAAACACGCTTACCACTTCACAAAATGCATAAACCAAAGAAGCTATATGGCACCAGAAAGACTAGCAGGTTCTCTTTGGCATAAGCCTTCAGTGGAATGTGCGGATAGAGCCAAACCCATCCAGCCACGGATGGTGCAGCCAAAAGCTCATCTGACTTGTAAGAGAAGGACCCAAATGTGGAGCTCACAGTTACAGACAGGAGAGAGGCCAACCATGGCAGGAGGGAGGGAGGGGGTGTGTCGGAGGAACAGCTCAGCAAGTTGGGGTTCTGTTCCTTGAAAGTACTGTGTTCTCTCCAGTGTTCAGCACGCGGGTGGGCTGGGCAGGAAGGAGAAATCTCTTGGCCAACCATGGCAGGAGGGAGGGAGGGGGCATTGGAGGAACAGCTCAGCAAATTGGGGTTCTGTTCCCTGAAAGTACTGTCAGAAAGGTTCTTCTGTGTTCTCTCCAGTGTTCAGCACTCAGGCAGGCTGGGCAGTAAGGCGAAATCTCTCTTCCCAACTCAAATGGGTTGCACTGTGAAGGAACCCTAATAATACTCACGGTATTTCATACGTTAGGGTTGTGTTTTCTGGCCAATCTACCATACACACCACCCGGCCAGGCAGCTGTGCTGTTGTTGCGTAGTAGCCTTGTGGGAATGATAACAGCAAAGCCAGAACCCAGATGACACAGATGACAATTTTTGTGGCTGTCGCAGACAGTCTTGGTTGCAAAGGACGGATGATGGCCATGTACCTGGAAGCGAGCGAGTGAGAGAAAGAGAGAGACGTTGAGATTTAATACTGTAGCAGGAGAACACACACCAAAAAGAGGGGTTCCCACCCCAGTCCTTGCACTGACAATAAGGTCTTTCTTCATCTCTTGCTTCCTACTGAAATGAGAGCAACGGCCGCATAACAGTTATGTTCAGTACATAATAAATACAACTGGAAAACCCCAAAGCTTTCTGGGGGGCAGGGGTTTCTTCATCCAAAGAGTGCTTGCTGTTTCAATCTGCGATGTCAGAATGGAAAAGGTTAAAAATCAGGGTGATCACTCATGCACCACTAAGCATGGGAACACAAGACTGGCATAAAAATTGTATAGACTAATTGCTATAAATAGATGCAAATTAAGGAATTAGGAACAGAATCTAAGCACCCATGGCTAATTTCATCATTCCTCTTCTCCATTCCTAGGCTCTCCTTAAGCCAGACATGAACTAACGGAAACCTTTCCAACAGAGAACTGTTCTCTCCAAATAGAGCATCCCGGCCACCATAATGGCAAGCTGGCTGGGCAAGCTGGAGGAATCTTCCAGTGGAGTGGAGTGCTAGGCTATGACGATGGGCACCCAGTTTAAGATTGGCCATAAAACTCACTGGGTGACTTTGGACCAGACATTCAAGGGTGCTGTAGCGGTGTGCTAAATCTTCTGACGCCAATTTCGTTGGCTTGGGAAAAGAAGCAGAGGATGGCTTCCTGGAGGAGAGAGGCTCCTGCATCCATGCAAGCTACTGATGCCATTTTGAACCCTGATGTTCCAGCATTCAACACTGCAGAAACAGCCTCCATGGATGCCAGAGTCTCTCTTCTTCCCACACCCATCCTGGGTGTGGGAAGGGCATTGGCAACGAAGGTGGAAGCATGGGGGAAGAGTTCGCATGCTCTCAAACGTTTGTGCAGATCACATTTAGTACAGTTGAACAGAAGCCTCCTCATAGCTCTGTTCTCGGGTGGAGGCTGGTAGAATTACTTGCTTTTTCCTGTTCAAAAGGGAAACGTATTGTTTAGTCCCTTGAGAAATCCATTTAGGATAGTGCAATGGGAAACATTCACCAAACTTATTTAAAGAAGCCCCTGGAACTGGCCCTCATGTCGGCAGCTCTCTGCAGAATGTTGTTCATCCTTCCCACAAATTCACACACGTCTAAAGCACATTTTCTCCCCTAATGCAGCATGCTTCTTCTTGCGATGCATGTCAGGAACCTCAAAAAGACTCTGGTTGTGAGTATTAAATCCAATTACAACCTGTCCCATCTACCAGAAGAGAAGAAACAGAACTTCAGGGTGAGGAAACTGAAAAGAGGGGTTTCCTTATGCCTGAGCCACAAGTGAAGTGCAGAGTTGGCTTTTGGAACGCAGAAGGCTCCACTTCAGTCAATGTTTGTCTATATTTTTGTTCTATTTACATGAGTTTTCTTGGTTTGCTATAAAGAGAAACAGATAAAGTTTATGTTCATACACCCAGTAGCACAGCAGGATACTATATACAAGGCTAGTTAATGTTCTATGCAAGGACAGATAATATGCTAAGCAAGAGAGGGATCTTTTGATTTACAGCAAACACTGCAGAAGAATGGCTTAGAAACGGCTGCTGCACAAGCACCTTAGTGTCAACAATTGTAGGATGTTGACAGACAGAAGCTAGTCTTGCAAGTAGATAAGCTCCAGTTTGTTGATAGAAACAAACCATATAAATACTGTACAGCATATTTCAGACAGGGAGAGGGGGGGAATCGACACCACCCATGGTTTTTCTGGTGGCATCAATCTTTGGGTAACAGAACCTCCTTTTGTGTGTCTAAGGAACGGCTGCTTAAGGCTATACGTTATATTTTAGCAGTATTTTTTAGAGTTTTAGAAGGTGGCTGAAATATCCCTTTCTAATTGTACTTTTTAGGATTACAACTTTTTCCCCTTTTTGGAGTGATAGTTTTATTGTAGATGAAAGACAGATTGAATGAAAATATATAAAATAGCATCAGCTCGGCTGATTCATTTTCCCGTTTAGAAGCAGTAGAATAAAAAGACAATGTGTCCTGAAGAATGAGATATCACCTACATTTCTCCCTAGAAGAGGGAAAAAGCACTTGCATAAAGCTAGCCAGATGAGTTGTAAAATGCAATCTGCATGTCTGAGTGCCACATAAAAAACAAACTTTCCTTAGTGGAAAGGAAGGTCTCGGGCATTCTTCTGATCTGTCAGCGTTCACATGTCGGCAAAGCGGCACGAAGGAGCAGAGGAAGGGTTTAAAGCAGCATTAGAGCCCACTGGTCACAGCAAGAGGCTGGACTGAATTTCTGCAGTCAATTTAGGAGGAGATTGAGGGCATCTTGCTTCTCTCTTCTCTTCCCCTGTGTTGTCATGATATATCAGCAGGCCTGCTGTAAGGAAGCGCAATGAAAGCAGCTGGTTGCTAAACTCACTTAAAAGTCTGCCTTCCAGAGGTAGAATAATGCGGACAAAGGTTTCACCTGAAGGCTTTTTATTCCTTTCCCAGTGAAAGGAATGACTTAATTTCTATCCAAATGAAATGTCACATACCTGTATGTGTTGCAGCACCTGAGAGGCGTCTCAGTGTTATTTCCTAGCTGCTCAGGTGGGTGCAAAATTTAGTATGCATTGTCCTCTACGTGTCCATGATAACAGGGACAGAGACACAATCAAGACTCCCCTGAGAGCTTCATAGGGCCTGGGACAGGTGAGATGTTGCAGGAGATGCTATTACCTCCTACAGCAAGTGTGGGACTTGAATTCTGCCTTCTCTGATTCTAGCCAGACTCTATAACCTTGGGCTGAGCAATGTCCAAGGATTTGGGGCACCCACATCCTCCCATCACCCTCAGCAGATCAACTGCCACCAACCATGTTTCCTCCTCCACCACTGGAACTGCAACAGCGCTGTGAGAAAACAAGGTGCACGAGGAGCCGACGTCTTGTTTCCCAGAGGAAACGCATTCCCAGCTGTCTACCAACAGCATGATGCTACAGGGAAACAGTGGCTGCTCTTCCCAGATGGCATGTATCTCAGCAGAATTGTTGGGATTTGGGCAGTGGTGGGATTTGTGGGGTTTGGGGACCAAGGGGGTGAAGAAATACCTGCAAGGGGACAGGCAGCTGCAGGTCACAGGTGGCCCTCTCTTGCTCTAACTGCAACACCAAGCTGTCTCCAAAGGCTAGCACTATTGACCTGAGTGCTCACCTGCTCTTCAACACTCAGCGTATGTATGTTTCTGTGTTCAACAATCCTAGCTCCTCCTCATTTGAAACTTGAGCACATCACTGGGGCTCCAAATTTACCAACAGAAAGACACGAGCCTTTCAGCAGAGAAATGTTAATGCACAGAAATAAATTGACTTCTACACTGTGATCTAAATATGGTAGCAAGCACAAGACCAGCCTCTACTTTTCCCTTTTGTTGTTCTTCTATAGTTGTTAAGTCATGTCTGACTCTTCGTGACCCCATGGACCAGAGCACGCCAGGCCCTCCTGTCTTCCACTGCCTCCCAGAGTTGGGTCAAATTCATGTTGGTCGCTCTGATGACCCTGTCCATCCATCTCATCCTCTGTCCGTCCCCTTCTCCTCCTGCCTTCACACTTTCCCAACATCAGGGTCTTTTCCAGGGAGTCTTCTCTTCTCATGAGATGACCAAAGTATTGGAGTCTCAGCTTCAGGATCTGTCCTTCCAGGGAGCACTCAGGGTTTATTTCCTTCAAAATTGATAGGTTTGTTCTCCTTGCAGTCCAGGGGACTATCAAGAGTCTCCTCCAGCACCACGATTGAAAAGCTTCCTGTCCCACATATAAATTTCTCAGGAAATAGATAAGTTGGTCAGGCACTCCCATTTCTTTAAGGACTTGCCATAGTTTGCTGGTCCACACAGTCAAAGGCTTTTGCATAGTCAATGAAGCAGAAGTAGATGTTTTTCTGGAACTCTCTGACTTTCTCCGTAATCCAGCGCATGTTAGCAATTTGGTCCCTAGTTCCTCTGCCCCTTCGTAATCCAGCTTGTACTTCTGGGAGTTCTCGGTCCACATACTGCTGAAGCCTACCTTGTAGTATTTTGAGCATAACCTGCAATTGTACAGTAGTTGGAGCATTGTCTGGCACTGCCCTTCTTTGGGATTGGGATGGAGACTGATCTTTTCCAATCCTCTGTCAATTTTTCTCTAGAAAGCATGAAAGCCACTTTTCTCATGTTTTGTGACTCACAGGCAGACTCAGCCTCAAGGCCCATTTCCATGACGCTACCCAAGAGACCAAAGGAAATCCAGGCAGTTCCGTGCCAGGCTTCAGTGACCACCAGACACAGCGGCTCTTCTGTGCCTCCCAACTGCCCTTCAGGATGCTTGTTTACTCCTTCGCATGTCTAACTCTTGCTTATTTCAGCAGAAAGAAGCATCAACCTTCAAACTCAAGGGGTTTCTTCTTTGTGTCTCTGTGCCTCCCTGCTGGCTGTATTAACTCAAAATGCAGTCTTGGAGTTTAGGCTGAACTTTGAAGAAGCTAGCCATGGTCCTGACCCTATTTTGCAGAGAGGTCTCAGCACCATGGAGAGCTCCCATAGACTTCAAAACAATGCCTGGAGCAGACTTCCAGAGTCACTCACCTCCTCTTCTGCTCCTGCATCCCTTCCTTCTGGGGCGGGGGGGGGGACACTTCTATGTATGCAAGAGAGGGAGGGAGCCGAGGACAGACTGGAAAGGCTTTGGTCCACCAAACCTCCAGGGAAATGACTTTACTCTTGCATAAAGGGCTACAGGGGATAAGAAATGCAGCTGCTTGAACTGCTAGATTCCCCCCTCTCAAGAAGGCTTTTCTGCCGCCTCTCCAAGGAATTGGCTATGTTGAAAAGATTTGGGGAGGCCACCAGAGATTGTCAAGAAGAGCAAGGGAAAAAAAGGGAGCAAAGTCACTTGGGACTGCAGTTTCACACTGATGCACAAACAGGCTGGAGGAGGGAAAGTGTC